AGAGGGACATCATGCTTGGAAGGGTAGAGGGACAGCGTAGGAGAGGAAGACAATAAGATGGATTGATTCAGTCACTGGGGTAATGGGGATAGATGTGTCAAAGACAGTAAGATTGGCAAGCAATAGAACAGTGTTTAGGGCTGTTGTATAAGTCAACTATGAGTATGTAGGGTCACTAAGAGTCGCAGGTGACTCGACGGCACATAACAATGTACAGCCCTAAACCCTGAAATGTCTTGTGCCAATTTTATTGTCTCTGACACACCTACCCCATTACTCTAGTCATTTAATCAATCCATATCATCGAGAATCTTCCTCTCTTGCACTATCCCTCCATCCTCCTAAGCATGACATCCCTCTCCAAGGACTGTCCCTCCTTGCAACATGTCCAAAGTATGTCAGACAAAACCTCAGAATCCTGGCCTCCAAGGAGCAGCCTGGCTTCATCCTCTCTAGGATGAACATGTTTGTTCTCCTATCAGTCCATTGTATATTCAGTCCTCTTCTCCAGCACCGCAGCTCAAAAGCGTCAATTTTTCTTCTATCTGTAGTCATTGTCCAGCTTTCTGATGCATAGCAAATAATTTCAAAGATCACAGCCTGGATCAGACACACCTTAGTCTCCAGACTGATGTCATTGCTCTTCAGTACTTCAGAGAGGTCTCTGACAGCAGACGTTCCCAGTGCAATTCGTCTTTTAATTTCTTAGGTGCTGTTACCAAGAATGTTCATTGTGGAGCCAACTGAAGCTGTCAACAATCTCAATCTCGTCACCATCTATCATGATGCTACCAATTGGCCCAGTGGTGAGAATCTTTGAGCTTCAATCCATATTGAAGGCTGCAGTCTTTGACCTTCTGCAGCAAGTGCTTCAGGTCCTCCTCAATTTCATGGGTATGGTTCAGTAGTAGAATTCTTGCCTGCCACACAGAAAGCTAGCTCACTTTCGATTCCCAGCCCATGCAACCCAATGTCAAGAGCCTTGGAGAGATCGCTAAATGCAATCTGAGCCTCCTGAAGCACTCACTGATATTTTTCTCCCCAGCATGTTCAACAAAGCCACAGAACAGGTCTGATAGGTATTTACAGACTTTAAACTTTATTAAAAGGACAAAAGACAAAATTGTTATAAAACCTGAGCATAAATGTATCCAGGTTTATAATAACCCTTATTCATTTCTTTATTGAAGAAATTAACTGAAGGTAACTCGTGGTTGCTGTGAAGCTGAACACTGTGAC